GTGTTCTCCATTGAGAATCATAGCTATGTACTCTTTCATAATTGGAAAATAAAACATGTTTGATGTCTTACTATGGATGTAGGTATTTGACCGAACCACATAAATCCTGTGTATTATTTTTTTTTTGTTATTTTTTTCTTTTAGCAAATCTCGACACTGCTGATGGTTAATTCTGTGGATGTTGGTTCTTTTTTTTTTTTGCATTTTGTTGATTCAACAATACGTATGGATGTTGATTCATTTTTAGCAATAAGTTATTCTTAATATGTTTTTATTCAGAATAGTTACACGACACTGCTGTTGAATCGTGTCTAAAGTTATTGAAGGAGGCCCATCTGCAATGTGGGATAAGTCGTTACAAATATTTTTTGTGATATGTGTATTAAAGAAATAGAACTGGAGAACAGACCAACAACGTATTTTAATAAGGAAGGGTGACAAAACATTGCTAAGAGATTCAAATAATTGACTGGCAGGGATTACGACCGACTTAAACTTAAAAACAAATGGGATCAGTTGAAGAAAGAATGGAAAATATGGAAGGAGTTGAAACTTGGATCTACCGGCTACCGGCCTGGGTTGGGATCCGATTAAAAGTACAATTAATGCTCCAGTTGAATGGTGGGCTGAAAAATTAGAGGTAAATTTCTATATAATCCATGAATTGTTAGCTTCGCAAATTGTTTTCTTTAATTATAATTTTCTAAATATCTCCTTTAAATGCTATATCACAGGCAGTACCGGCAGCGAAGAAGTACAAACAGTGCGGAATAGAGCCGGAATTTGAAGAGAAACTGGACATAATGTTTAAATGGATTGTCGCAACGGGAAAGTTTTCATTCAACCCTACTGAAAGCGGTTTTACAGAGATAACAGATGAGATCACACCTGAGCCATTGACATCCGATGAAGAAGTGCATATCATTAACCAGAGGAATATGAGGGAGTCCAGTACAATTTTAAAGAGACTAAGGATTGCTAAGAAAAATAAAGAGAAGGAAAATTTTATGAACACCTCATTCGATCGTTTAATTGAAGCTTTTGCAGCTCCACCAATATCTGATTCTAACATATTTGACTGTCTCAGACTTTTGGCACTATTCCTGAAGTTGTGGGCGATAAACGATTTCACGCACAGTGTGTGAAAAAACTTGAGAATTCAACTAGAATGAAAATATTCATGGCGCTATAGCCTGAATTGCGTCTTGAATATTTGCGAGTTTTGGTCGAGGAATGATATTTTTTTGTATTATATATGTATTTGTTGTAGTAATATGAACTTTTACTCAAGTCAATTTTTTTTAAATGTTTGGAACTTATAATCATGTTATCTTTTTTTAATATGTTTGTACCTTCTACATATGTATATGTTAGTAGTTGAAGCTTTATTTATAAGTTGCATATTATATGTTCTGAATTTGAACAATTAATATTTGGTAGTGCTGTAGCAATATCTTATTATGCACTAATTATGTTTACATCTTATATCATTTAGGATGGATCCACAACGTATGCGTCGTAGGAGAATGACATTTGCCACAACCATTGCGATATTGTTGTTGGATTATTACCGGAGTAGCACAGCTCGCATTCCCCGCATGACATACTGCTGAGAACCGGAGTAGCCATGACGTCACATAAGAAGCATAGCTTTGGGAGGCAGTTCCATGATTGTGTTAGAGGTGTTTCAGCTCGTTGAGGTTTTTTCCGGTGGGCTGATAGTCCTACATATTACACTGTCAGTAGTCATGCCAGCAGTCATGTGAATCCAATGTTTTCTCAGGCTGACAGTGCAATTGATGACCGGCGTAGCCAGTGTTTGAAGTTAAATATTTTAATATTTTTCTTTGTTGTTATACTTGCATTTGTACTTTTTTTAGTTCTCCCGGTACTCGTTAGGGTGTGAGAAATGTATAGTATCTTCTAGAACATGTATGTCATTATCGTATGTTTCTGCACTATATATTTCTTTTCTACCAATAAGCTATTCTGAATAAGCTGCCCCAAACAGTTTTATCAGACGGGCAGGAATGTCATTTAACCACCAATAAATTAGTCTGAATAAGCTACTCCAAACAGCAAGTCAGATTATTCTGATAATCTGCAGATTATCAGATTAGCAGAATAATTTGTTTATCAGCAGATTATAAATAATCCACATTTGCGCCAAACAGAGCCCAAGTGTGAAAGGCATTTTGAAAACGCCATCATACTCTTCGTTTCAAGTGTTTGATCAACTTATTCAAAAATCACATTTTTTTAATTGTGAAAGATGCGGCCCGCGAGATGGTACCCGAGTCCGGCATTTCATTGACATTAATAAAGTCTGGTGCCATTTGTACCCTCGTTCGCATCTCCAGCTCCTCCCGCTTCCTCCGCCCGTCTTCTTCTTTCTTCTTCTTCTTTGCAGAAGAGTAGATGACGATGGCCACGCATTGCAGCTAAGCTTCAAATCCCTACCACGTTTGCAGCAAAAATTGCTCACAAAGACCTCCGCGATCGAAGGCTCTCGCTGTTGATGAGAAATTAGCTCCGACAGATGTTGCGGAGCAAAATGTAGAAAAGATGGAAGGAAGAAAAAATGTGGATCTTTTATGTAGATGCGCATCTAATCCTTACCACAAGTGCACAGATTTCTGCACTCAAAAGATCTCAAATCAGAAAATCTAACAAAAAATAGCTAAATCAGAAGCAAGAAAGGAAATACTAATGACTGGATACTAATAATGTTAATTCAATCTACTCACATATTTCTCATCCCTACCATCAATGCACGAAATACTGTTCCCAGAGATCCAACGAGAAGACAAAGATCAAGCAAGGCAAGCTAGGAATTGCTGCATTTGTGAGCACATAAAGAAGCAGCAGAGGTTTAGGGGTGAGGAGGAGGAAGAATGTGGACCCTAAATGCAAATATGCATCAAATCCATACCACAAATGCAATGCTCTTCCCACTGCTTCCTGAAGATCAACCAAATGACATAAACATCACATTAATACAATTCAGTTCTTTGTTATTGGAGATGTCTTGCGACTCTCCTTCTAAAAAGAGGATGGACTGAGTAGTCAGCAGTTCTATATTTTATGCAAATGTGAGACTTATTTATGTATTTAATTTGACTTTTAATACCACTTTTGCTTACTTTCTAAAGATGAAATGCATGTTTTTCTCATATAGGCTCGTGTATGACCAAGACTGTTATAAATATAAATATGAAATTTTAAGTGTTAAGAAAGAAGTAGGAATTGGGTGGTGTGTATGTAATTGCCCCTTTATAGATTTACAATTGTAAATTTAGGTGTTAAAATTATAATTACGAGGAATTGGGTGGTGTATATGTAATTGCCTCTTTATTAATTTATCTATTTTAAGTATGTTGATGGTTCATGCGGCTTTGATGACAAAATTCTGGGTTTTTCCAATTCCTTTGTTTACAAGAAATT